ACTAAAAGGTCGATCAGGATCGAGCAAATCCAAGATTGTTGCATGCAGGATACTCTCCTTTACTGCTTGAAAGGCACATGCTCGGTGCTAGTCCAGCACCACTTCACATCCTTTATAGGAAATTGGATAATTGCCGAGCCATATCTGCGTAATTCGCACTGTACTTGCGCAAGTAATTGACAAGGCCAAGCCACTTACGTAAGTCCTTTTGGTTCTTTGGAACCGGCCAATCAGCTTTAAATGTTACCTTAGCGGGATCCGCTCTAAGGCCTTGCTTACCAATAAAGCACCCTAAAAAGGAATCATTTCTGCACCAAAGATGCATTTAGACGCGTTGGCGTACAACTTATTCGTGCGCATGCACTCGAGCACCGCTCGTAAATGGTCAATGTGATTGTCCACATCTGACCGACCGTTCATAGCACGACTATGGACAAAGATGTCATCAAACTACGTCTGTGCATATCCTCGGTGAGATCTGAACAGTTGTGTCACAAAACGATTAGACGTATCCGGGGCATTCGATAACCCTTGCGGCATACCAAGCCACTCCCAGAGCATACCACTTGGAGTGCTGACCGCTGTCAGCGGAATATTGCTTTCTCGCATGAGAAGCTGGTAATAACCATCGAATAAGTCGAGCGCACTATACATTGTACATCCCATCAAATTGTTATGACGAACATCCTTCCTCAAAACTGGTGTCTGAGCAGGGATGGAGGCCGCATTAAGCTTATTGTAAGCATGAACAATGCGCCACTTCCCATTGGGCTTTTTGACACAGAAGGTCGGTGTGGAATGGGGAGATTTTCTCTCACGTACCATTCCTGACGCGTGCTTTGCACGAAAGAAGTCGTCAATGACGTCACTCTGTTCCTTCGGTAAAGGCCACTGCCGTGTTACGGAGTATTTAGTTCCAGGAACCAAGTCAATTTCATGACTTACACCTCTATCGGGAGGTAAGACGGACGGTGGGTTGTGACACACCACGTACTGAAATTCCTTTACCAAAAGATAGAACGGATCCAAAAAATCTTTAGGGATCGAAGATCCACTACGGGCATCTAATGCCACCTTTTTGTCCTCAAGGACAGGCTCGTCCAATAACGATAATGAGTTAAACTCAATATCCGGCCGAATGACCTCTAACTCGGATAATGCTCCTGCCTCTAAGGCTTGGCTAAATTCGCCGTCAGACATTTCGTCTAGGTCAAAGAGAGTATCCAAGGATGGAAGAGTCTCAAGACTAATATTGCCATCAATCTGGCCAGTCAACCTATTGACAAGTGTATATAGTGTATTATTACTATTATCACTTCGTAACTTCTTAGACGCTGGCGCTTACCAGTTGCCACCCTATGCTGGGATTGTTTCCTCAACGAAATCTTACGCCTCTTAGAGGCCGGGACAGTAGGGTCCCCGTGGTAGCTATTAATCTTAGCTCGCTCTATACGAGAGCTCATGTCTTGAACGACATTTGGTGAAGTGTTACGTAACTCGAACACTTCACCCAGTGGATTTACACGTACCACTTCACGTACAGCATCCGGGCCTAGCCCTAAACACTCTTGCATCTCGCCATCAATGTCATTACCGACATTCAGTAAGGTGCCACCTCGGCCGCCCTCACTCGGTGGAATTTCACGTGCCACCCCACTCACATCAGAAGAATTACATTCTTGATGTCTCGGCTCTAGTCCAACCATGCCTGCAGCATGCAGTGACTCAGTATCAAAACGAGTATCACTCAACGGAGTATAACTTTCCTCACATACGGTGAAAGAGCTCCGCTCAATATGGATGTCATTGATATTGGAGATAAATAACTCTGACACACCAATGTCCAGCACATTGACATCTTCCGCCAATGGCTCACGCCAATAGCGTTTTTGTTGCCTAGCAAAGGTTGGTTATAACTCTCCAAAGCTTCGCTAGGAACATTGCGCGTGGCGCCTAAGGTCTTAGACCTCCAATCATTCCATGGATCATGGCGTTCAAGCCCAGCCATACCCAGGATGAGATCATATCTCGAATCCAAATCGAGAACAAGACAGCGTTCAATGATGTCAAAGTTCAAAAACTTCACACCTGAGTTCAACGTAATTTCAGGCACCGTGACGCGACCACCAGTCGCTAAACGAACGGTGATCGAATCACCTTCATGAGCTTTTAGCGCTTCAGCACATCGCTGACTTCTCTCAAGGGAACGACGTCGAGCATAATTACATGATGCTCCGGAGTCGATTAGAATCGACCAATGCTTCTCAAAGACTTTAATTATCGCCTCGGCGACTAACAAGCCAGGCTTGTATCCACGTTATGTGCTGGCGGGCACAGAGCTCGGTGGGGCTAAGCACTGTTTCACTCTACCTCGTAGAGAAGCAACAGAGCTCAGTTTTACCCCAGTGGGCGCCCCGCACCCACTGGGTGTCGACGATTCCTCGTGTCATACCAGTTTTCTGGTTGTGGCTGGGGTTTCGACCCATAGGTGTCGGTTGTTGCTTGCGCAAAGGTCAAGTGGGACGCAAGTGTTTAGTGCTTCCGCACATATAACAGCTTTTCACTTCCTTTCGTTGCTCTGCAACATGAAGCTCCGCTTCACCTTCATCTTCAGCATGGCTGAGATCCATCGGTTCTGGCTTACAGTAAGCCGAGTTGCTCGCAGAGGTTGCCCTCGAAAAGCTTGGGTTGTACCCATTCTAACCAAGTCTGGCCGACTTCTAGTTGTGCTCAGAATTCTGAGCGTTGCTCACCGCCTCTTCAAAAGTAGAGGGATGGACCCGAAACACTTCGGTCCTGGAAACGCCATTACGAAGACCTTCCATGAAGATAGTCATATAGACTGTCTCAGGGAGAGGGTCAGACTGCATTGCAGCCATCAGCGTTCTCAACTCTTGGACATAGTCCGTTAGCTCATTCTTACCCTGACGGGTAGACAAGAAGCGTGAGCGCACGCGATACGCCTGGTTAGGCGGCGAGAAAACTCGCAAAAGGTCTAACTTGAGCAAATCCCATGTGGGAAACGCCAAGTCTACCGACGTGCCACACGTCGGAGCCCACTCTCTTGCTCTTCCATCGAGCTTGGAGATGGCCAGCGAGACCGGCTGGTACTCCAGTGAGATAATTACAGAGCTCATAACCATCTCAATCTCACGGATCTAGAGGGTCAGGTTTTCCCCCTCCTTACCGGAGTAATGTTTAACTTCCACCCTAAGGGGACGAGGCTTAGCCTCTTTATCTGGCATCGCCACGTAGCGTGTTGGCATAGACGACGCTATTTGGTTCTGAATTTGCCCTAAAAGGGCCGTTCCATACTGCATGAAGGCCTCAACTCGTGCATTGAGCACATCGGGACCTTGTGGAGCTAGAAATTCCACATACCCACAGCCTACGGCCGCGGTCAGCTTCTCAAGCGCGACCTTTTGGGCCTCAGAGAAGGGTTTGGATTGCTCCATCCTCACAGAGGATCAGTCTTTACCGACTCAGGCGTAGATTGACTACGAGTGCTACCAAGTGCAGCGGAGCTACACTGCTCCTCAAGTCAAAGGAAGACTTAACGCTCAATGAGCAACTTTGGTTCTACGAACCCGACTCAAAGAGTCAACAGCTCCGAGAGCTTTGGTTTGGTTCAAAGAATTCGACTCAAAGAGTCAACAAGCTCCGAAAGCTTACGGTCCCTGTTCCAGGGGGACCAAACGATTCAAAGAATCAACGCACAGAGTGCACAAGTAGTAGCTGCCTTATCAAGGCGTTGATAGATCCTTAACGATCGCAAGACGCCTCAGAGAGGCACGTGTCTTTTGGATCAAAATAGGAACTGAATTTTTTTCTTCTTTTAGCCTAAAAGAACACCTTAGAACAACGTAATCAACCCACTCAATTATTACCTAAATAAACCTATCAAAAGATCATGTAATCAATGGTTGACAAACATCAGTCTTCAACAATTGATACTGTGTTCTAATATTACTTTAAAGGGGACCTCATCCCTTGTGTGTACCACACCGATTGTCGACTACCAGTCGACGTGCAACCCCGTAACATCGAGGAAGCTGATCATATTGCGACAGGAGTCTGCGCGCAGGCGTTCTGATGCTCGAGACCTAGTGCTACCTGGTATATAAAGTAGCAGTTACCCCGGTAACCTTGTTGCCGGGTGACGGGATATAGTAGGTCGTAAGCGTACCTGAATATACCTCACTTTTTCACTCATTCACTCATTTACTTTTCAAGTGGAAATTTATCAAGAGGCTGACGACTTCGTTGATCCTGTGAGTTGTCTTATTACATAGCACCGATGTCAAAGTCTGCCATGACTGAATTGCAAAAGGTCGTGCATCTCTTTGTGATTGACGATTCGGTAACGAAACTGGTGATGCATCAGCAGCAGCATGCGGTGGTCGTAGCTCCGTGAGCCATAAAACTTTCTTGAAATAACGTGGGATTGTACAGCAAGTGTCTGTCGACGAGCTTATATCTCGTACGGCTCGCTCAGTCGCGCTTGGATTTGAGTTTGGCAAAGAACGGAGCTCAGACGAATAGCGTTATCGCTCCGAAGAGGTGAGTAGACGACGTCTAGATATCTGCGGTGGCACCTTCTGCCGTGATCTTTGCAAGCACGGTGCATAAACGTATTAATGTGGACTGTGCTATGCTGAATTGCATGACCGACGCGACGCTTACTGGGCAAGTGGCGGTCCACTAGAATATGTGTCGACGTTTGTGCAAGAGGAGACCAACGAAGCCATCGAGGACTGCTTAGGTGCACCAAGCGACGGACTACTTTGCTACATCTCTATTCAGTCAAGCGGGAGCTCAGATGTCTTCCTCATGCACCAAGACATGGCAACACAAGAACAGAAGTATTTACACATAGAGGAGTGGTGTCTCTTGGCACAATGTTTGCAATGTACCTACCAAGCGTAAGACGTAGTCAACGAAACTCCTTGATGCTAATCAACCAGTAGCTAGCAAACAGACATCAGCTCTCGGAAACGCTGCTACGAGTGTTCATTGAATCTGACCAAGTCCTTTATGTTAGAAGTCGTGACGAACGGCTTCACCACCTGTTCACACCCAGAATCTGGACCGCCGTTCGATCGCACGTCCACGTCGTCCTTTCGCGTCAAATTAATGACCATGTCGCCAACAATTATCTCAATGAAGCGATTGTACCCCGATTCACAGACGGCGTAGCTCTTGTGATTGATCACGACGTCGTATTCAGCCGCGCAATAATCAACAGGCCTGGTACCTGGCATATCCGATTGCTGTTTCATGATTCCCTCGATAAGCGCATTGATCGGCGGAATCGGGTAGGCGCCTGACTCCGAGTCCAAACACACAGAGGGCGCCGTCATATTCGACATGTCGATCACGGTGGCGTATCCACCCGTCTGCCTGTAGGAGATGACCGACTTGTCCAGACCAGGCACAGAGTACTTGTCAAATCTCGCGTAGACATCGTAGAGCATTTTCCCGCCTTCCGATCCGACTGGTTTGGCTTCCATGGTATAGTTGACATCAGGAGAGGACTTGAACTGCGGCCTGACGAGGATGGAAAAACTCGGCCAATCTGTTGTCGACTCGGCTCGGAGAACTCGGGCGCCATTCTCGCCAAGAAGCGAAGCGTCTGTGGACGAGAGCAGCACCGCGTAGACCGCCGTCCAGCACAGAACAGCCAGTGACATCGGTATCGTGGTGGAAATGAAGTCGTACGATGTGAGTGGGAGGCTCGAGTCAATTGCAATTGTAAAGACAATCAGGACCGTGGTCCATGTCATGGACACGGCCAAACATGTCGTCGAAGCCTCTCGATGGTTGTGAATTGTCTATACCTCGATTTACGACACAACAGCAAACAACATCCGGATGGACAGCCTGCGAGTAAAGACACACTGCATCAGCTGTGGTATCGTTCGCTCTATCCCTGTCGTGTAAACGGGCGGCCTGTCCGTGTTTCTTCTCGGTATCGTGCACAGATGAGATCAAAGCAGCATTAGCTCACGAATATGGTGCGTCCAACGGGACTATCCACGACTACGCGAAGTCAACGAGACGAAGGCTTTGTTTGAGAGCTCTGGTCGAGACTCCACATGGCTCTCTCCCCCACAAACATTGTGTGACGTTCACCATATGCTTCTGACAAAACAGACCTCAGAGGGGGAGAATCAACAGCGTCTGCTCGTGGATGGCGTCATTTGTGGCTCGCAGGTGGTGCATGGACGTCAGCTCGCCAGAACATCCGTCAGACGGCTAGTTGTCAATTTGACGAGGTGCAGCGGTGGACGAGATTGGACGACTCCTCTTATGACAGAGCTCGATGTAAACTCGCTCGTTTATTCCACAGCAAATGCATGGACGTTAGTTTCACGAATAGGATAGCCTCGTCGTGCGATAGAGCTCCACTGCGGCAAGAGCGTCCGCGTTCTTGCATGTTCCTTGACCACGTACGTCTCGTGCTGTTGTGGAGATCATCGGCAGGAGCCCAGTGCTTGTTCGACTTGCGGTAACACTATCCAGACGAGGCTACAATTGCTTGTTCAACTGAACGTCGTCGTTTCAGTCGATGTGGACCGAGTAGTCAGACCGCCCTTTGGTTCGAGCTTATCTGTCTCGACTATGTAAACAGACAGCATAGTTCCAATGCTGTGCTTGGTGTTGCCGTTGTTGGCTGCTAGAGCTAGGCTTTGTCATGGCTAGACTGCAGCCTGTGAAAATGATAGCAGTCATACTCGTCACTCGTTGTAGGATCTATTGCATCCTTAGAGCAGTGCATCGTCTCGGTAGCATGAACACATGGTGCTTGTGTTGAAATGATTGTCTTTGACAGGTTGTCATGTTTCAGGAGTCAAGGATATAACATGTGACAGTCTCACCGGGTTGGCGGGTTGTGTAACAGCTTGCCATGTGGGACCGGAAAGAGACGATTTGAGGATGGGACAGGGAGAGACGGGGCCTGACAGGTGGAGCGACGTGGTGGCAACTAGACCGTTGTCACAGGACGATGCGGTTGCAATACGTGAAGGCGTATGGGATGAGCAGGAAGACGTATGTCATCGGTGATATGGTCAAGTTGCAGTGCAAGTATATATTGTAGTATTGACGACCGAAAGTAGTTAATATTAGATATATCTCCCTTCTACTTCCACCTTTCTGTGCACGAGCGTATTGCTCAAGCTAACGAACCAACAAGTTATGGGCCCAACGGTAAAGCGCATATCTGGTGCACTACTTAAGCTGGACCCACCATGAAAATCGACGGTCCTAACAAGACCTTCAATTACCACCTCGAAGAGAAGTAGGCAGCGCCCGTGGGGTGAAGAACATGATGATGGCTATACTCGGGGACATTTTTAAAAGAATGAATCGGATGAAGTCCTTCAAGAAGGAGCTAATCGGCAGGAATTAATAGGTATCATCGAAGTCAATTTTCGGTTCGGCACTAGGAATGAAAGCGAAGATGACCCTTCAGGCCTTGGAGCGTGCCCCTACACCCAATAATTCCCCAAATGTGTCACCCGCGACATGCTTTAGGCAAGGCGTAAAGATCAAGCATATGTTGATGCGCACCTTGGAGATATGGTGCTGTGGATTCCAACCTGGGGCTTGACCTAAACCTGTACACCACAGACTGGAGGGGCTTGTGGCTTATCATACCGGTGTGAAATGTCGACATACATAATGTCTGTTCGACATGGGCCGCAAGTTATGGAAATTACAGTTGCGCAACACCAAAAGCTTGCATTACCACCTTTCAACGATACAGAACTCTACCATGGACTTGTGAGTGGATTTCCTGAATGGGCAAGGAATTTGATCGACAAGTCGGGTTTGCGGAACGCGCCTGTGGATTTGCATGGCCGTATGACATACTTTGATGTCCTGGGACAACACCTGGCCGGCAAAGCGCAGAAGTCCTACCGCCGGCAGGCTGAGACTTGATTGTTTGAAAGTCAAACTTTGGAACATGTTACACAAAGGCTGCTTCATACTTTCAGCACCGAGATCTCACCTGCGCAGAGTATGAAGTTGTTTACGGCGCCTAAATCGGGACATAGAGGCTAGACGGACCATTTTCTTTATCTGACAGCCGTAAGTGACGCATACGGAGAAGCAGACAACTTGGTGCTCGACATCATTATACAGTATCCGGTCCCGCACATGCGGACGACAATGCTGTCCAGGTTTGATATGAAACGCACTGACTCCCTACGACAGGCTAAGTAACTAGCACAATTTGCGCAGTCGACAGATACCGACACCCACGCGAAGAACCTAAGACGATATGTGGTGAGCACTGTCGAGCCAAGGACGTATAAAAAAGACAAGGCTGCAAAGAAGAGAAAAACGAACTTCGGTGACGATGACCAAAACACATGTTACAAGTGCTGAGAAGTCGGACATATCAGGTCAATGTGTCCGCGGAGAAAGAAGAAGAGCTCAAGGGCATACTTTACCTCTATGATTGGCAATAGTGAAAGTATTCAGGAAGATCATTCTATTTTCGACAGTGGGCCCAGCAGACACTTGGTAAATGACCCAAGTCTGTTGGTCGACCGAGAAGACTGTCACAGTGTATGTTTGACTGCGGCCACCGAAGAAGGTGTGCTGCGCGTGGCTATTCAAGGAAGCGTCGACATTAAGTTGTCGAGCTTGGATTCGTAAGAACCTTTGGCTAATCGATGTCCAGTACGCTGCCAAATTCAAGCGCAACATCATTTCCTATATTAATCTCTAGGCTAAAGGATTCGTACTAGAATCTTGAGGAGGGAATCGTATGCTGACCTCTGGACTTAAGGGTGTACCGATTATGGATGTTGATTGCAACAATGTGTTGGGTATTGAAGTGATGGGACCCAGTACCGTGGTCACTAGTACACCATAGGAAGCGATGATGTCTGTACTCAGCCCACCTGAATACGAATACAAGTTAGATGTTCAGAGTGGTGCATTGATGCAATTTCATCGCCGAATGGGTCACCTTTGTTTCGATATGATCATCGATATGGCCAAAGCCTGTCCTGAAGAAGCTACCGCAGCATCGGTAAACATCAATTATCCAAATTACCTTCGTCTAAGACATGATGTCATTATATACTTCACACACCCGTACGAGTAACTCAACCTTGCGCACTTACAACTAGATCTTGGCTACCAATGCTCGAAGAAGTACATACCGACTTTGCAACATTATTCAGGAAAACCATCTTATAGACTACTTCCAAAACAAATAAGCGGGAAGACGATACACATCGCTGACAGTGGATTAATAACAAAACCTTTTGACAATAGTAAAAGAATTATCAATACAATACACACAACCACAAGTAATCATTCTAGGGAAATATTCCAGTGCTACTTACCGTCTTGATGGGGAAAGAATGGCATAACCAGCCAATAAAACATCAAACTAAAGGACACAACTCGTATGAATTGTCTGTCGTGTGCTCAACTAAAACAAGCCGAAAGAGTGCAGTTGATGAGAGAAACGGGTATAAATTCACCTATCTTTGTCATATGTGGTGTGACATGCTCTGATCCGAAAGGTCCGATGACCCCACGAGATCGTTTGAGCAATCGCCACCTGGTCAACTTCATTGACCATCGATCCAGCTACTAACCTGTGGGTTGGAAAAGTCCAAGGTTGTCACAACACTCAAGTTCAAGCGATTTCTCGTAAGTTATGAGCGCGAATTTAATTTCATGGTTCACGTGCTACGCGCGGACGGAGGTGGCGAGCACAAGACGCTAAACGTGTTCTGCAAGGCATCATGTGTTTTACGTGAATTGAGTGAAGCCAGGAAATAGGCTAATAGTGGCAAAGATGAAAGGATGCATCGATCTATTTTGAACATGGTACGAAGCAATGTGTTCGCCTCAAACCCACCTCTGTCTTTCTGGGGTGATGTTGCTGAGTACGCAACATCAATATTCAACCGAAGCAGAAATAAGTCAAACCCTGGTGGCGTATTCCCAATGAAATTTTTGACGAAGAAGGTGCTCAAGTTAAATGACATCGTGGTATTCGGTTCTGCATGTATTATCCACGTTGATGTAAGGAATTAGTCACTCGGATAGTGCGGGAAGGAGTCCGTGCTAAATGGCAAGAGTGATAAATCAAAGTGGTGCAAGAGGTACATTTTCAAGGAAAAGGTTGTCGTGGTGACGCAAACATATTCGAAACATTGAAACATTGTCGGAAGAGCAAAACAAATATCTCAAATCTGGCCTGGATGAAGTAGACTGTCAGGAAGAGTCGATTAACCATGATCCAACGGGTGTTCAACTACAATTAAGTGTCAAGCGACATGTCAAGAAGTATCACAAGGGCCAAGCGTCTGGCTGGACGAGAGATCGGGAAGGCACAAGATTTGTCAGCGAACAACAAGCTGAGAATCTTAGTAGTGAAGAATCTTCTGGACAGAATGATGTCGTCAATGCAATCACGGTGCATGACTCCAAACTTTATGGGGAGGAATTCAGGATCGTTCATCGACATCGGTGGGTGACTGCTGTGACTGAATAATCGGATGCATTGAAGTCGAACGACGTTTGAACGAATGTGGTACCATTAATAGTGCACATGTGTTGCACGGCAAGTAGGTGTACAAGACCAAGACCGATGCGAATGGGGCCATCGAGCTATACAAGGATCGTTTGGTTGTTTGCGGATACTAAGAGATGTTCA